ACTTCATTAACCAAATGAAAGCAATATAATATTTATTATATGAATACAGTTATCTGCTTATTTGTCATTACAAACTTTTCACTTTGTTTTAGTTAGGTAAAAATTATCTTTGAAAAACACATACATGTATCATTGTTAAGGAGTTAAAATATAAATTACATACTTACTATATGTTGGGGTAATAAATAAATATGCATGTACCGCTATGACAGTTAGAAAGTGTGGAGTGTCAGTAAAGCAAAGTTAACTCGACACAATGCAGCACACGACCGAAAATCAAAGGGATTTCCAACACAACGCTTAGTTAATTACCATAAGTGTTAACATAACGCAAGATCTGCTTAATTGCTTGTCTGCAGGAAAAGAGAACACCCAAGTAAATAAGTAGAAGCATAAACAAAATATATTTACAATAAAATATTACAATTTTAATTTAATTTCACTTTTTTCGTGCTGTTGGCGAGAATTTGTGATGCTTGCTATCAAAATTGTGAGAAAAGGTAGGGAAAATCGCCGAATGAGCAATAATGTGTCGAGCGCCAGCGAACAAAAGCGAATATAAATCATAAAACATTCAGTCAGAGACATGAACATACATATTTAAGCCGCGCCAACCGTCAGCTGACCCGATCACACACACACACACACTCATGTACAAAATGTGCCAATTCACAGGGTTTGCGCTGTCAAGTCGCGCCTGCGCATATGGCGGTACAAAGCTGGGCGGCCTGGCGATGCGATGCAACATTGTAATGTGTACAGAGTATCGGTACACCGAATTTTTGTTTAAATGATTGGTTGAAAACGAAATGCTAGTCGCTGTTGTGTGGTCATTTTCACTTTCAGTGCAGAAGAAAAAAATTACAACAGCAATGCGGCACATGAAGAAAGAATTATGCGTGTGGCGCTTACATAGTATGTAAACCCAAACTGGAGATTGATGTATGAATGCCCTGCAGGAAATTTTGAATATAAAAAGAAATGATATTCAAAAACCCTCAAAGAAGCGCATAGCGTAATCGCTTAAGTTGTAAAGAAAATAATAACTCTGTTGGCCTTCTCGACGATAGATACGAAGATAGAGAGTTCCGAAGGATTACAATATGTAACTGTGGTGTTCGTCTTTCCTGATTTTCGGTACAATAATACCAGCCCAAAAGTTCTGATTGCTTAGACCATAAGTTCTGCATAAATAAACCATCTCTTATCTTGGCATCGTAGACTGATCGACTTCACCATATAGTCACTATAATATCACACAATTTTGCAAAGTTAATGAGCGTAAGTCTTGCGATTAGAAAAAGCTGAAATATTCACCGTCCCTTCGAATATACATATTACTTTTTTTGGTATATAAATACCACGGTCATCAAACAATTGAAGATATTTTCTATGAAGCCTGTACAGAACTTCGGATATAAGACAGTCGTTTAGTTAAGAGTAGATCTACTGATAAAAATTAATTCTTTTTGATAACGCAAAAGGTACACAACTTTGTAGATAGGTGTAATACTATGTAATACTTGGTTTTGCTTTATAGAGGAAGTAAAGTAAGGCTGCAATCTACACAAGACATCCAAGAACAGATACAGAGAGCGTATGCATTTCTCAATATTTTCAGATGATGAATAAGACATTTTAGTTGTGGTCAAAATAAAAGTTATTTATGGAAGTTAACACTCTTTAGGCAAACATATAGTAAATATTCATCGACGTACTTTTTGAGAACCACAAGCATTTCCTGCAGGGTATTACATTTATGCACAATTATCTTTGTCTTACTGAATGGCGCCACGTTAGTCGACATGCACGCTGCCCCTAAGGACATGCGTTGGCCACACTTGATCTTGATTAAAAATTCAAGGAAAGGAGGAACATAAAAAATAAATAGGTTGAAAAATTGAAAAGTGAATTTACAAAGCAACACCGAAAGTTCGCACAGAGCGACACACAATGTGGGTGAAAAAATCGAAAATGCAATGAAATGTATACAGGCTGAAACAAAAAAAGCAAAAAAAAGTAGGAGAAAGAAGCGCATATAACAGGAAACGAACGGAATGAATTGTGCGCTGAAATGACTTGACAGCACAGTGACCAGCCCACCTGGGTGTATTAAAAATGAAGTGCATGCATTTCTTATGGACAATGCGCATCAATGAATGAGTAGCATGGTGTGATTACCCAGCAAACCAAAAGTACAATGAGTTAGTACAAAATTTAGGAAGCCTAAAGGAAATAATGGACATGTTGATGGAGTTGGATAAAAAATTGTATTGGATTAATTCGAAATATTATAAGATTTAATAATAAGTTTGGTGAAAAGATGAAAAATGTTAGGTTCGCGCAGATTACTGATTGGGCAGTTAAATGAATTTCAGAAATTAAAGCACTAATTATTATACAATTGAAATATTTAATAATTACTTACCATATCTTCAAAACTCCACAAAAGCTTTTAATTTCCTTTATCAAAAGAATTTTAAGTCAAAACTCGATTGTATTAAATGGTTTTAAAAACATCGGTCTTTAAATTGTGTTAAATTTGTTGTTAATTTGGAGTATGCAAATAAAAACAAAAAACGATTTTTGGAATAACTAAATATGTAGATCAAAACTTCGACTTTGCAATCACACTTTTACATCTTTGATCAGTTATATCTGTCTGTCTGGCAGACAAAAAGCTCAGTCGTAGCTGTGACGTCGAGGCATGAAGCTTGTCGTGGCATGTCACGGGACTTAGAAGAGGCAACAATCTTTGACGATGACAACTATAGAACCTACAACATAGTTTATGCACGCTTGAGTCCGAAACCGATATTATTTCTCTGACAAAGAGTAGATTGTTAGAAGAACTAAAAAATATTAATGAAGTAGGCTTCAAAAGACAAAAAACCTGGGTGGAGCAGATGTTGCTGAGATTAGGTGTTGCCAAAGGCGATAGCGTTTCTGATGGAATTGTAATTAAAATCAAAGTAGATCCCAAAAGGATTCAAAAAATAGTTCTGCAGACGAGACGGCTTTTGGAGTAGAATGGAGAGCTACATGACCTATATATTATATATTTAAGCTCGATATGGACATAGGGTCTAAAAGCAATTATTATCAAATCGGCTGGTTGCAGCAGGTGAGTAGAGAGGTATCACTTCCTCATTCCCTCGGCAGTAAGGTTTGAACGCGGATTTTTATCAAAATTGCTTGGGAAAGGTTTTTTTTTGGCCAACAAGTTTATTAGAATACGCAGTTATAGAGCTAGTTAAGAAAATAAAAAAAGTTTCTTAACTGTTAAATCCTAGAGCTCAAATAAACGGTCGAAATTGTTCGATTGGTGTCATAACCTTTTGCTCGCATCCATTTGGCATATGTATCTCGTATTATTATGTACAAGTATTTTGTGTGTTGGGTCAAAAACACTGAAAGCCAAAAATGCTGAACCATAATGCAAGCGCCACACCGAATGACGATATTCTTCAAAGAAACAGCAATACTTCTCGCAACGTTGCAGCTTTGTATGCCGCATCTTTCATTTATTTTCAGCCTCACAATTGCTCGTCGCCTCTAAATCAACAATATCTTAACATTACCTGCCTTGCCACACAACTGATTATAATATTTACTTGCAATTTATCGCAATAAACAAGAAAATCAAAATGAGATACGCATCTTCGTTAAGCGTGTGTGGCACATCACGAGTCTGTAGCTGCCCACCTCAACGTGAGACTGAAGCTCCGACGTCCGACGCGCTGTCTGACCAGCCAGCACAGCAAGTACCGACCTCCATGCCAGCCTTCTTTTAGTTGCGCTTGTCTGCCCTTTCATGTTCCTCTCACTTACTACTCCGCTTCCTCTTCGTTCGCAACTCTCGATATCGCAATAAATTTTAATAAAGTTGTCATACATGTTGGTCCTGACAAGAATTGCAGAAAAATATGCTTTACCGATAAGCCATGCAACAAGACACTCGTAAATTGGGGACGAACGTATGCGGTAGGAGGATATTGGCGTGCCAGTGCTCAAGCTCGCCATATGTGTTTGTCCGTTTGGGCTTATAAAAAGTGGGCAGTTCCCCTTTGTGTGTATGCGTGCCGTGTTGGGCTGTATCATGCCGAGCCGTGCTATATTATACGGTGCATTTGCAAGCCGAGTGCCGGTCGAGTCGGCAAAGTTATAAAGATGTAATCAATTTAAAATACGCGCTTTTTACATGAGTGTCAAAAGAAATTGCGCAATTTCGTTGTGTGAGTATGGCGCCAAGCCCAGTGAGAAATTCGGTATGAATGGATTATGGGACGCAGAGAGAACGGTAAAGCGTAACCAAAACTGTAACCAGAAGTTTTAAGAATCAAACTTTTCTCATCAGAAGCTAATATGGGGGAGAGAGGCTTATTCCATTTCCATCTTCTTTGACACCTCAAGGAAAGTATATATTCATATTCTTCGAGGACTCCAAAGACAAACTGTATGAGATTTCAGATCGTTTCGTTATTCGCTGGACTTCAGACTAATGAAAAGACCGTGAGCATAAGAGCCTGAAGTAAGGTTGACAAAAATAAAAGGATCAGACCATTCGAGGCTTACGAACCCATACTAGTTATATTCGGTTTCCTTGTGATCTTGAAAGATTTAAGATGAAATTGGATCGAACTGTACGAATCCACGACAAGTATTCTATGGGTTTTAGTCCTTAGTATTATTGTACACTTTTATTTATTATTTATATACTGACCCTAATCCCCGCTCCCTTTCAGTTACCTTGGAAACGGGAGCGTTGTAACTAAAGTGACCTAAATTTATTTAAGGTCACATTATATCCTCATCTAGAGCTTTCTTCAAGTCTATCTACATTCTTTTACGATATTATTTAGCTTATTAGCCATATAGCACACAGCCAAATTTATTTGTTCACTTAACGAAGTTACTAGCGTAACTCCCCTCCCTCTCTGTATTGCTGCTCTTCCAACAAATATTAAATGGTCATAATTTTGCAATTTTCACCATTACAGATCCCCTGACAGCAATGATTACCGATCGCAACAAATTCAATTTTGTTACGATATGCATTGGTTTAAGCTTCCTGCTCACCAGCGCAAGCGTGGCGTCCGCGCAAGCAACGAGCAATGCGCAGCAGGAGACAAATCAACAGCAGCAGCTGCAAACACTTGAGCAAAAGCAGGCGGCTATCGCGACGATAACAGTGGTGGACAATAACAAAGATGAAAAGACGAATGCGATTTTAAATGAGCCAATAAACGATGTGGGTATGTAGACAAAGTATTTAATGTATTACAAATATATTAGATTTGTGTAGTTGGAGAAGGAATGAGAAAGAAATTAGTAAATGGTGAATTTAAAAACGATAACTTTTGGCGAATTTTTTCGACTCACGAGAAAAGACTTAATATTTTTGAATGTTCCATTCTAAAATATTTTTTAACTCAAGATTTATCGAAAGTTGTCTGTATCGATCTGAAATTTTGTGCACGTTCTTTTTTCTCCGCCGATATCGGAAGACTATAATATATATGTAGCTGCCATACAAAAATCAAGTGCTTGTATGAAAAACTGTTTTGTTTAACAAGATATCTTCAAGAAATTTGGCAAATTGTTCAGATCGGACCACCTTAGCATATAGCTGCCATACGAACTGACCGATCAAACTCAAGTTATAGATCTCCATAAAATATATTTTTTCCTTATTAATAAACTTAATCCGATGTGATTTTGGTGATTTTTTACAAGCGCAGAATAGTGACCAAGGTTCGACGTCACGACTTGCTTGAGCTTTGCGATAACACAAATAAAATTCAGTGGATTAAAACAGATCAAGTACGAAAGTTACGGCGGATGTGTAATCTTCAACTCCAAAGATGGATGAAGAAAGGATGACTACTTGGCGATGGAAGAACCACGTAGAGCAGAAAATAAACTAAATCACCTCGCCGGCGCCTAAAGCCATGAAAAGTAGAAGAAAAAGAAGATATAATTCATTAAAAATATTCAATTTCATTTCCATCTGTTAATAACGCCCAGTCTCTCTCAGCGCTGCTACAAAATATTATGCAATACGAAAAAGTTGCAATAGAAGTGCAAAAAATAAATGCAAACGCTTTCTCAGTCGCAACAAAAAATACAACAAACAATGGCACAGCATTGACAGAAACTGTTACAATAACAATAAGAAAAGGCAACAACAACAACAATAGCCATGACAGCTATTATAGAGGTTAGCATTGTTTGTATATAAATAGCGAACAAGTAGAAATGCCAACACCAAAATATACCATAATTATGACGAAATTTTCAGCGACAATTGTCGGCGCGGCGTATTTTTTAACAAACCAAAAAAAGTAGACAAAAAAAATCAAAGCAGCAACAATTTGAATGGCGGCGCATTGCGAAAAAATTGAAAGTGATGCTGACAAAGTGGCAGCAATGACCGTGCACCACAGCAGCAGCAACATAACAGTCAGCATTGTCCCAGAGGCTCATGGCGCGCGTTGTGACGGGGTGGCCTTGTTGGTGGCAGTGGCGGTGGTGTGTCTCAAGAAACGAGCTGTGCTAGGTTAACTGTTGTTTTATATTGTATATATGTGTGTTTGTAGCGCGTTTTTCTATCGGTGTGTGACATTAATCGAATTTGACACAGACTCCGCGCATGCGCATGCGCACGAGCACATTGCAAATTTGTTGCGCCGCACAATAAAATGCATTGTTTACGTTGTTATGATGTGAATGTGGCAACTTTTTTGTTTTTAATTTTTATTTTTATTTTCAATATTTTATGTTGTTGTAAGTTTCTGTTGCCGTCACAACAGCTGTTGTTTGTTTTCAACAATTCATGCTTTTTCGCATATTCACAAAGCACATGCTGCAGCACTAGCACTATTTGCATACTGATTGCTCCGTCATTGCCGGCAGTTGCCCCAGCTACCAGTCAACATTACTGCAACTGCAGCAGATCCTTGTTTGCGCGCGCCTCAGTTGGCTCGCTTGAAGTCTATTATATCGCCAGCTATTGACTGTTATGAAGCCTTTTTGCTGTAATGACAAATTTGCTGCCGTGATTGGGGCAGCGGGTCTACTACAACTACACTACGGCTATTTTGCATGCTACGGCGCGTTCACAGGCAGCAAAAGCGAGTTCGTGTCTTAAGTCTTTTGTTTGCTTCGTGCCAGTTGACTCGTTTGCTCGTCAAAACACTGGCAATTTGGTGTAAATATGTAATGATTTATGTGTGTGTTTGTGGCATATTTCATGTTAGTGTGTGTGTGTGTGTGCGTCGATCTCTGTATTTGTCGTATTAAAATGGAAAGCGATTTGTCAGGTTTTAGCAAATAATTTATCAGCCAGCGCAGCAATGCTTGTTTTCTTCTTCGCCATAAACTATATATATGCATGTGTGCATGTATGTGTGTATTGGTAAAGTACTTTGATGGTCAAAGCAAGTGCAACCGCACATAAACCCTGCGCGCGTTCACTTTCCGCTTTTTATGCCGCTTGCCAGCAAAAAGTCGCTTTGCCAACTACATCTTTTACTTGTTGTTTTTTCTTTGTGTTTTTTTTGTGTGTTGCCGTTATTTCTAAATCATCTAACCATTTGCTCATCCGTCGTTCACCACAGACCGCCTCGCCACTCTCACCCGCTTCAACAGCCACAAGCGCGCGCTTAGTTGCAACGCATCCTTTCTTAGCTCCAACCAGCTTACTTTTTATTTACATCTATGTGTGTATGTATGTGTGTTTATTTTCTTACAAGTATACAAGTGAATGAGTGATTGACCATCAAACGACCATTGCACATTGCTGCGCATTTCTACTTTTGTTTTTATTTCGCTTTTATGCGTTTCGGCTTTTTGCTTAGCGCTGCATTGCCACAATTCCAACAACACAAATGCCACAAATGTTGCAATGCCAGCCACCATATAACCGCATAACCACATAGTCACAGCCATTTAGCCATTAGCGTGATTGGCCAATATGGTTTTTGATGCACTGATCTTCTCCATATACATACATCACACACGTACATACTTGTACATATATGCATACATACACACACTTCGTTGCTAGTTTTGTTGCTGATCTTTCGTCTTTGTTGTCAAAACATTTATCATTGAAAAAACTATACATACAAGTATATATTTACACAGATACATTCACATATGCATGCAACACATATAAGTAAAACATACACACAAATACAGCTGTATATACAATATATTATATATATGTTGCATTCGCTGCAAGTACTTGCACCACCTGTACCTGCTGTGGCACGCGTGTTGTTTTCGCGTCATTTGTGGCCATTGTTAGTTCAAGTTCAAGTCAAGTCGCTCGGCAGGAGCTTGTTTACCTAGTTTCTGTTATGATTTGTTTTACTGTTGATATTTTGTTGTATTCACCATTTTTCTTCGAGTATTTTCTGCGCTTTTCAGCTCTGTTTACATGTGTAATTTCATTTTCTTTGAAGATTTTATTGAATTGTTTATTTTGATCGGTCAGTTTGAATGACAGCTATATGCTATAGGTGTCCGATCTGAACAATGTATTCGGCTGTTGTAGCGTAGCTTTGCACAATAATTTATGCCGAGTTTCGTAAAGTTAGCGTGCCAAACAAAAACGTTTTCCATAAAAAACTTGATTTTGGTTTTCAGTTTATATGGCAGCTATATGCTATAGTAGTCCGATATCGGCGGTAACGACAAATAAGCAGCTTTTTGGGAGAAAAAGCACGTGTGCAAAATTTCAGATCGATATCTTGAAAATTGTGGGGCTAGTTTGCGTATATAGCGACAGACAGCATCGAATTTTTTTGCAAAGCAGAGTTATATCTCCAAAAACACTAAAAACTGACGATTGAGGCGAGTTAAACTATTGTAACATAAACTCAGTGTTTGTGAGTAGTAGTTAATACAAGACACACGATTATAGTAAGGCACGCTTCTTCCACTTGCAGAAGTTTAACCTCTAGTACATAAAAAAGTTGACTTTGAAACCTTTCCTAAGAAGTATGGACCATTGGTACAATCATTGCAGATACAAACGATGCAATCTATATGGGTGAAAACGCGAAGCAGAACACAGAAGCAGAACAACAAAAGGTTGCTCTTTAGCAATCTCTAAATAGAAGGTAGCTTCATACTCAATGATAACAAGTCGATCTTTTAGGGCGAGGTTTTCGGCTTAAATGAAGACACCAAGTGGACTTCTATAGTAAGTCCATTCATTTCTATTGGCTAGGCATAAATTAAGGCGATACTTCGTATCAACATGAATTCTTACTGCGTAAGATTATGTAAGACGGCAATCCACAAACTTTCAGTGAGGAACTCTGTGAACAGCACCTGGGCACCGAAGGTAAAGTGTGCGATTTAACCTGCTTAGGCTCAGACAGAAACACGCTAAATATAAATCGTTCAGTTCCTACATGAAGTGTCTGTCTTAGTGGTACGGATTGTGAATAAACCAAAAGACAAGAGAGACCTCATCACAAGTTATTTACCCAATGACAAAACGTTGAAGCATATCACTTTCCAAGAAAGCCAATAAATTGAGTTGTTGAATGGTGAATTATTGGGTTTCACTGGGAATCACAACGAACCTAAAGATGGCTTAAGTAACGCTTGCCAAAGGGTATTCTTCGATCTACTCTTTCAATCCGGCAGCCAAACCTTTTGTAAAAGAAAGTTTTAACTGCTCTGGAATGGTTTACGGATCGCCTAGGACACAATAAGTCCATTACAATGGTCGTTAGCTTGAACTAATATCCTTGCATAACGAAATTATATTTTATATAAGACATGAGATAGACTCTTTGTAATGTAGAAAAGAGTGGATAAATAATTGAACAAATAAGAATTAAGTTCATACGAGCCATAGCCTGGGCATTAATGAGTCGGTAGTGTATCTTTGTGGTTGTGATTGTGTATTGTTGTGAAGTTAAAGATCTTCGTTAAAGTATCATTGATGCCACACAGCGAGGAAGAAAGATGTCAACACAAAGGCCAAGCTACAAAAAACATATTATATATATTTAATAATTCTTATTTTTTTTTAATTATCGCCAACATTCGAGAAACATAAAGCGATATCAAGAGGCATAAAGATCCCACGCTACAAGTTCAAGTAATAATTATAATTTGAATCGACCCTGATTAACACAGAAATAAACCAATTGTGAAAATTAATATAATTATTGTGAACCATGATATTTTCCACAATTATTACATGCACACATATAAATTAATTCATGGAAGAAATTCAATAGAGACAACCATTAACATTTCGCAAAGTCCAACTCTCGTAAGACCAACAAACGTCAGTGAAGAGAGTCAAAAGCAGCAATAAAGAAGACATTCAAGCTATGGGCGTAAATAAAAACAAAAATCAAATCAAACAATAACACACATGTAAAAGCAAACTGAACAATCAACTAACACAGCAACCAGTAATTTCATTGACTGGCATTATTAACGCACTAAAAGTGGTAATCAACATTGTTGTGGCAATTGTAGATACATCATAAAATAATTTGCACAATTTTTTCGCTTCGACGCACAGAGCACAGAGACTACAAACTGACAGGCCGAACGACAAAAAAACAAACAGTTGTAAAGCCACAGAGCTTAGCGCAAGGCGGCGGAAAGGTGGCAATGTGGCCAGCCAACAAGACGGTGATGATGGCTGGGGAGCGGCGGTGGTGGTCGTGGTGTTGGTGAAGCTGGCTGAGGCAGGCCTACCATAGTTGCTGCTGCAAGGTGAGGTGGTAGCAGAAACATTTGTTAACACTTTAACAAGTTATGATTATACCGCAGCAAGTATCTATTATTGCGTAGTAGGCGAACGCTTAACCGGCAACGGCCACAGGCACGCCAGCTACACCAATGCACCGGCGTATGCATTTTAGACAAACGAAAAGAAATATATATATAACTGTAGCATGGTAGACAGACCAACAGACAGACAGACAGCATGGTGTAAACAGTAGTGTGGTGCTCTGCAGCAAGTTAACGCTGGCGGCCAGCAGTTGGGATGATGGAGCACATGGCGCAAGCCAGGCGAACCACTTGCCCATGGCCGTGATGCTGGCTGTGGCGATGCCATGAGCGACCGTCGGCCAGTCGAGTTAATGTTAAGTCGAGTAGCAACTTCACCGCCCCATTGAGTATTGATGTGGCCCACACAAGCCCGCCCGGCTACTTTTCAAACCAGCACCGTTGACGGCGTTGATGTTTTTCAATGTTTTCAACGTTGTACGCATTAGCATGGGCAATTATAACACTCATGTAATAAAAAATCATCAATAAACATATGAAAAATATAAATAAAAAAATATATAATAATTAAATGAAGCATTGAAAATATAGATATGCATGTGTGGATTTGGAAAAAAAGAACGGAGAGCAAGTAAATTGCATGTACTCAAGTATATTAATGGACTAGCCGGACCTAACACAGATGATACCCAATATACGAATTTTAAGTACGAATATTTCAATTTTAGAAAAACTAGTACGGATTCTCTCTCTTTTTGAAAGGAAATGCAAAGTGCCAAACCATTTTTGTGGGTTTCCGAAAATATTTTGAACATTCTTCTTATCTCATTCAAACTACTAATTCTGTCAGACTTTTAAAACCACCTAGAATGGTTGTAGTAATAAACTCACTAAGTTTAAAGTTTTTGGTCGAGAAAATAGATGAGATTCTTTTTTTATTACCTACTTCTAACTAGCGCTTATAGCCAAGTGCAATTCGCTAGATTTTAAGGCTGATATTGTTTTTGGATGTTATACTAATTCCAATAGTGTGAGCTATAATAAAAGTTTCCCTGAGTGTAATTGTTGAATATTTTTTATTGTCTTTTACCCAAACAAGCGATTATCCTAATGTCTTTATAAAAACAGACGTTATCACAAAACGAGCCAAACATCAATCTGCGGGATTTTTACAGAGTTCTGGCATCAGAAACATCCATAGTATGGTATATCTAAGCTTTATATACTGGTTCAGCTGAAAAGTTGTAGCAAAGACTCACACCATAAATTTTAAGAGAAGTTTGGCCAAATATATCTAAAGTATTTAAAATTACCAGTGTTGGCTTCTAATGAGCCACGATTATTCTTTTAGTATTTTTGAAATGAAAAAGCTGTTCATGAAACTAATATAACTTAAGCAGCATTTAGAACGCGGCTAGCAGTTGTAGCCGAGACACAAACCAAAAAATATAAAGATGGATTCTTCTAATTTTACGCCTATTCAAATCTTAAGGTCATTTATGCATATTGTTATTCAGGTTATTGTTTTGGTTATTGACAGATTTGGCTGGTACGAACAAAGCGACGGACGGCTCACCTTCTAAATATATCAAGTTCAAAATGAAACTGATTAGGATTTAGATTATTATAACTTTCTTCTTTTATAACGAAGCTTCAAAACAAAAAAGTTTTATCTTAAAACCAAACTTTAGAGAGCTATTCAACATGGTAAATAAAACAGGGATTTATAAAGATTGACAAAGTGTGATAAGGAACTCAGCTCTATGAATCTTAACGAAACAGAGACGGAGATTATCTAGAAAACTCATAAAATTAAACGAAATAATCTCATCACTTCTTCCTTTTTGGTTCGTAAGAGATAAAATCATTCAATAGAAATAAAAACCTAGATACACTATAGCGCACCCAAAGAGATCAAAACAACAATCTAATAGTAATAAAGATCTCAACATAGGAACAGCTCACGAACGAAATGTTGCACAAAGTTGCCTTGTAAATAGTCGCAACAAAATGAATAAAATATCTACAATAGTGTTAAAGTCAGTTAAAGGATAATAATTGGGACTCTGATCGTGTGTTTATACTTTAGTAGTGCATCAAATGCGAGTTTCACTAGAACTTTTCATCACTTTCTGAAAAATAAAATTCCGTCAACAAGCAACTATGTTGGGTATACTAATTAGTTAATTCTAAAATGTCACAGAAAATCTTATGCTGGTTATACTGGTTGAGTTCTATTTTTAATAATTCGCTTATCTTTTCTTCTCTCTTCTTCTTTATTACGCTCACTCAACTCATGCCGCACGACCATTACGTACAATGCGCACACACAGCGCACGCATTCAGCCCGCGCTTGGATTACAGCAACGAATGGCGACCTGTGGGCCGTGGTGATCCACTGAAAAACGATCCAACATTCGATTACAGCCCGCCAACGCTGGAACATGTACGCTACTGGGCGGAGACAACCACAAAGGATGGTGTCAACAGCAAAGAGGAGAGCGACAGCGGCAAGCAGGATATAAATAGCGTGCGCTTTGCTGCCCACGCAGGCCACCAGGACATTCTCAAGCTCGGCATGCCGAATGAACACTTACGAGGCAGTAACGGTGTCATACATGCAACGTCGCATGCACCACAACAACATGCGCATATGCATCAACATGCGATTATGCCACACCAGCACTACCATCAATCCCACCATCCGGGCGCCGTTAAAAATGCAAAAGGTGAAATACCGCTAGTACAACCGAAATACACCTCAGTGCGTCGCAGTTATTATGCACAACAACCACCGACACGTCTAATGCCACCACCCATGCAGGCGAACTCACCGCCAATCAATACTTTCAATGTACCCATGAAACCCTCGCAAGCGCATACGGAGTATAGGCATAGCATGTCGGCGGCGCCCCTACCGCATACTCCTACAATGTCCAGCATGGGACCATCCTCGTCATCTTTGTCGCCGCACGCAATGCAACATATAAAGACACAGCACCATCCAAGCATGTCTACAACGGCTTCATCCTCATCGTGGATGTATCATGCACCGCCTACCATGCATCACCATCATCAGCAGCCTCAACATCATCACTATGCTATGTCCAGCGGTTCGGCAGCTGTTATACCAACGTCGGCACAATCATCGCGTATGCCAATTTCACACGCTTACGACTCTCATCCGCAGGACTCCCATCACTACTTCAGCTACGCCCGTCCCAGCTCGAATAGCATCACTTCGCATTCACCACAGGAATCTTACACTGCCAATTCCGTACGCTACAGTCCGAACAGTTTAAAGCAAAACGGTGCAGGACGCAAGCCATGGTTGCATGAACTCTTACAAAAGGAGATCATAAAAACATCAGTCAAGCCTAACTATTCAACTTCCGGCAACAAGTATGCCTACGAGACTACAAAGCCCATTTATGAGCGCATGCCATCCACCAATGCAATAAACGGTGGTTTCACACCAATAACACCGATTACATACGTCTCAGCGCCTCCAACTGTAGCTTCCACGACGACCAAAACAACAATAGTGCCATCAACACCATCAACAATTGCTATCACACCCAGCGTTTTCTATCCAACTATCAGCCCTACACTGGCGCCACATACCCCCAGCAGCACTACGCATGTCATTTACACTACGCCAACAACAACGACGACACCGCGCAGTACTACGTCGACGACTTCTTCACGCCTACTGATACCAACCACCAGCAATTTGGCATCCCGACCGACTGTGGCACCAATGCAAATGACTACGGACTCCTTATTTTCACACTACAAACAACCCGAAGCGCCACTCAGAGGTCCTATGTACCTAATTATTGAAGGTCACTCGAAAGTGAAGAAATATGGCAAGAATGGTATCAACTTAAATCTACCGAAAATAGTCCCTGTCATACCAAAACGTGAACCTGTCGTACGTATAGCGGAACCGGGTGAGGAGAAGCGTGGCACCCCCGAGACCTTCCATGTAGAACACCTGCATGTAAAGACCTCGACCACGACGACGACAACAACAACAACAGCAAAGCCTTCAACGACACCGAAATCTGTGACGACAGCCAAGCCTCCGACGAGCACAACAGCGAAACCTACGAAAGCTGCGCCAACAATAAAAGTCACATCAACAACTTCGAAGCCTGTAGTGACCACCAAATCTAATACAACCACTAATTCCGCTAAAACAACATCGAAACCAGTGACATCAACGACCACAACAGCACGACCCACAGCAACCACTGTATCTTCTAAAGTCATCAGCACAACAGCCGCAGCAGTTACAACAAAAGCAACAACCAAAAGTACTGTTAAATCTGAAAACTTCAAGCCAACACCATCGCCAGCTGTTGCAAGGCCTACACAAAGTGAGCCACTGCTAAAGCTTGAGCTGCCTAATGAGCCACCAACTGGCATGTCGGGATTACTGAGCCTACTTGACTCCTCGCTAGGCGGACTCTTTGCCGAGCAGCCATTAGATTCAATTGAAATGCCCGCGTCACCAACGCAAGCAAAACAAACGGCATCCATGAAGACTGCGATGATGAGCATACCCAACACTGTTTTGAAGGCAGTCAATACCGCCGCTACCACGACAACTGCCACACAATCTGTGGTAGTACCTGTCGTACCGGATGCACGCATTGGCACTAACGCCGGCCGCATTGATGCCGCCGCCGACACCTTTGGTTCGGGGTCGGCAGAGTTTAGCTTCACCACAGATATGCCGCCGCGTGAGGTGCGCCAAGTATTCGATTATGATCAGCGCCCGGAATCACGTCTTAAGGATTTCATAATTGGGGGCTTCGATGGCGACGCAACGGATGATGAGGGAGCGTCATCAGCTTTCTACGATGATGAATTCGAGGAGTACGAAGGAGAGGGCACAAACAATAGTGCAAATGGCGAACAGCCAATTAAGCGTATGGATCGATTTGTCGATGGCGAAGAGGGTGAGTTTGTGGGCGATTACGAGGATGTAGATTTGGAGGAGTTGGGTATGAGTGATGTGGCGCCATCTGCAAAATCAACAATACTTGTGCGCACACAAGCGAAAATGGCGTAGACGTGCCCGCCAGATGCTAAGGGCGCTTAAATACACGCCGCTACAGCCAATGCGAAAATGCTGAACTCTTCACCTTTCGATGAGACCAAAACTAAACGCTTGCATTCGCGTATCTCTGTAGACGCCGTTGCCGTTGTTTGGCGCAGCATTTCAGTCATTCAGACGTACAGTCAAACCATTTTAATATTATATGTACGTAATTTGGAAAATTCAGTTGCATTTAGGAATTTTTACACTCTACGTACTGCTCTACACCAAATCTATTTTTTAAAACTTGTATTTTAGACACAACTTTTTGCTAAGCGTCTGCGTTTGTTTTTCTCCGAGTAAATTTTAGTGTATGTACATAACACAGCTTTATTTATGTATTTTGTATTGTATTTATTTATTTATGGCAAAGATTTACTCACTTACTACGCTTAAGTTTCGTCGCGATTATTTTGTGACTCAATATTTATTTGAATGTCTGTTTAGATTTTAAGCTTAATTATTTTGTATTCTTTGCTGTCATCTTTATTTATAAGGTTTTCAAAAACGAAATAAAACTAATTTATTTAAACAAAGAAATGCTGTATGGTTCGTTTCGACTAAGGCATTGAACACAGTTGAGAAATAAGAAGGCAGGTGTAATGAAATAAAGCCGTACGATACCCTACAGAACGACTGTGATTAGACCAAAGGGATCACTGCTTGTTTGGGATTTCACATTGATTCCAGTAGGGGCTTAGCATCTGATGGAAAGTATTTTTTTTATCAAACAAGCTCCTTGTTTCTTAGTTCTTACAATGCTATGCACTCTTTCTCTATCAACCTTAGTAAGTACCTATTTAAGAGCGCTGTGTTAGAAAATTTAGCAGATGGATTTGCATTCGCTACGATCACATGTCGAGAGTTTACCTAAGCTGTGTCTAGGGATGAGTACTCATGTGCTGTAACCGATCCTGCACTAGATCTAGAAAATTTATTTCAACAGGTTTGAACCAAAGAGACAGGGACTGGAGATATGTGCAACTAGATGGTATCAGCTTAAACCTCACTGTATGCAAGAGTTCAACAGCGTTTGATCTTGTTGTATGAGGGACCAGATGGCGCAAGTATTGTGTTATGAAATTAAATTGATATTTATAGCAAAGGAATGTGCTTCCAGCACGTGTCTCCTGAATTGATTTCCGCGAAAGTAAAGTTTTGTTGTATTTATTTGTATGTTAACATATATTGAGAGTAGTTCAAGGATGCACCTGTCTATCAAGACTAAATCTTTTCCATGTGCTGCTAATGCCCGATTACCAATATAGGACTAGGAGAAGATTAGCATTGATATAAAATAAACCAGGATGACAGAAATAGAAATAGAAATAGAAGAATAAAGAAAGTCTCAGGAAAGATATAAACAGATTTATCCATTTTTGATACATAATGGCTACTTCCTATGCAAAACCATGCCATGTCACCATACTCATCATAAAATTATATTTATGAGATATGAAACAATTTCAAATGTTTTTTAAGAGAAACTACTCATATTGGATACATTCGGAAAGTGAAAAGTATGAACTATTATTATGTACAGCACAAAACACTATAGTTATGGCAGTTATTTAGAATAATATACATAACCAGTGTGGTTTTCGGGATCGTCACAATGTAAAAATATGTCATTTCGGGATTATCATCTCTCCTGCACACCAAAAGTTAAATTTATTGCATACTTTAAGGGATATACGTTTTACCAGAGAATGTTAATGAATATTCTCTGGACAGAGTGATCGGTTTACGCGCTCTCTCTGCGCACATGCTGATTTTACAAGACGTACAGACGTTTGTAGATATGTATATGTATATTTTTCTAATGAATCATACGAAACGCAGATAAGAGTGAAAGCTGATTATGCATCGTAAATTGAAAATTACATAAAAAGTGTTCAGGAGCAATAAATAAAATGACGTAGCAAATTAAGAGGAATAGAACATTACGAACCACATCAAGCGAAATCGGAGGGTTCCAAAGGTCTATTAAAAAAAATATGTGGCGACAATGCGTTGACTAACTATTGGTAGATAAATATATGTATGTACATGTATAGAATAGTTAATAATTTTATTTACTTCACTGAGAATTAAAAGGTATTCATAGTATTAAATATACAAGTATATATAATATAAAAACTTAATCTGAATTCACAAAAATTTTGGGAAAAACAAGAGAGTGGTCATACTCTATAAAGAAATGCAATGAGATTGGATTTTCTAACCTACTAGAATAATATTTAATGAAGCACACAGTTAACGGTACTTAACTCTTAGAATTTTCTGAGGTTTTGACAAAATGTTTATGTATTAATATTCCTAATGAATAGTATACGACTTTGTATAAACTATTTTGTCCTTTGGTTTAAGACATCTAAGCTAAGGGTTTCTAAATACCGACAAACAAAGGGGCACGTTTTGGAAACTTTCTTAAAAATGTCGCTCTATTTCATTGCCCAGCACTGTACATTTTCATTTCAGTTTGCTCCTACTAATGCTCCTTTATTACAAAAGTATGTGCATATGTATATATTCCCCCATCTTACAAATCTAACGGTAATTTAGTATAAATTATTACGTAATAATAACTTATTATTACATATATGTACATACATCTGTATGCATTTGTAAATATATAATTATACTTTTATCAGATCAAATTTTAAGAAATAAATCGTTGCAAAATGAAAGACGCAACGGAAAAAACAAATTATATTATAATTCGATTTTTAAACAAAATTACTAATTGTATTATTTAATTTTATTGCATTCACTCTAGTGAACATATAATTTCCGTTCTTTTCGACCAAAAAAAAAAAAGAAATGTATATCAAAAACCCCAATCTTTGACCCCACTGCCTTCTGATCTCCGTATCACTTTGCTGACGACGTGCTCACTGCGATCACCGCTGCAGCAGCATGCAAACAGTATAACGAATAAGGAGCATAAAACAGAATCGACGACCGGTCCGCTCTATGTGCATACTTCCGAATATTTCTCGGCGTCTGCACGCATTCGCACGCGGCTACGTTGCTGATAGCGAGACAGATTGGGGAGAAACGTATATACATATTTATAGTATATACATAGATAGCAATATATATATATAGCATATGAAGTAAAAATAATAAAGAAGTATGAAGAATGAAAAACGAAAAACGAAACAGTTTAAAAAATTATCCATGCCTTATTTTATGCACCGCAGCATTTGCGTCTGCCAGCTGATCTGGCTGATCGCGCGCAGCCAACTTGTTTCGTCTGCTTCGCTGTCAGCATTTTCATTCTCGTCACTTTATGGGCTCCATACCGGGAGACGCATACCGCTTTTGGTTGATTCGCCCCACGTTTAGTTCAGTTGCTTTCAAAGCGTTGTCGTTAGCAGTTCGTTTGTGTGACATACAGTCCGGTACACATCCACAACTAGTTGGCTTCTCGTTAACACTCCCCCGTCCAACAGCCGCACAATTCACTTGCATAGCAGTAATTCCGTGTATTTCGGTTCTTTGTGTACGGTACGAATTGAATTTGTGAATAAAACAATTAAAAACAAAATAAAAGCGACAGCACAGAAGTAGGTATCTTTTACCGCGATATCGGACCCCCCTTTACTGGTGATAAATCCAAAGAGAAAAAGCGAAAAAGAAAAATAAGATTCACTTGATTTTATGAGTTATATGTTTTGTTCGCAGTAATCGCAATCTTTCGCCGAGCAATTGACACAGTTATTTTGTTACTTTTACTTTACTGTTCATTTAATTATATATTTTTGCCGACTTCGTTTGTGTGAATTTTATCGCGTGCACAAGTAAAATTGTTTGTTTGTGTTCAATTCACATGTTGTGAAGAGTATAGAGAAAAGCGGTAAATATAAAATGTATTGAAGAAAGCATGAACATAAATACATACACATATGTTTGTATGTGTGCTCTGAGATAAACCCTAAAATAAACTTGTCATGTGAAACAAAAACATGAAATAAAAGAATTAAAAAATTTCAAAATTAAAAATTTTAACAAGTTACCACCCACCCACATTGCCTCCTGTCTTTTCACTCTCTCTCTCTCTCTTCCTCTCTTGCTATATTTTTTTGTTTTCTTCTTTGAGACCCACTCAGCTGTTGCGTGATCGCGTCTACGTTGCGTTTGCCTTTATTCACGTGCGTGCGTTACCCTGACATTTATAACAACACAACACATGTCAAACAACACCAACAACAACAAACAATAATTTAACTAATGTTTTGTGGCACTTTGATTGGCGGCCTCACCCATATAAGCTTGATCGAGCTTTGTTTGCTTGCTTATCTGTCTTTGGCGGACGTACTGCCTCGTTGTTTACATTTGAGCAGACACACGCATTTGTTTATTATCTACCTTACCACTATTTAGGGATGAATTTCTTTTCAAAACTATTTTCGAAATGTCGCAAAAACTTTCCTTCACTTTTCTTATTATTCTTAAATCCAAAATGAAATCACAGAAGTTTTCTACCTCTTTGAGATGAGTTCAAACAGCCGGGTTTAATCTACTGAAACTTTAAAATTTACTAACCATATGAGACTGATTGATTTTTTAAATAGAATTTTCGGTAAAAAATAAGACCTCCCAAGCAACCCAGCTTTTTTGCCAGATTTTAATACAGTTAAGTGGTTAAATGAAACAATATTAATTTCACTCGCTAAGTCTCAGAACATTCAATATTCAATAACTCTTTTGTGCACCCATTTACTCTTACTTTCATTTAGTTATGAATTTTTCTTATTTAATTATTTTCGCATCAGTAGAATAAACAAAAAATCAAAAGTATATAGTACATAAGAAAAACACAGCAGGTATTATGCAAATGAAGCTCGGTAGTCGATATTGACAGTGATAATTATCAGTAATGACTCTATTTATCGCGCAATTATAAATGACAATGTACTCCAACTTTTTCTAACAATAGAAAACATGCCCGATAGGAAAAACAACACACAAAGCGCCAATAAGTGAATAAGTTGCCAATCTATAGAATGTAATGAAGCAAAAGTCAACAATTTAGGCTCGATCCTTTACCTTTTGTACTCTCTCTTGCTCTCGATTACTTCTTAATAATTTTTTGATATACCATAGATATATAGCCATATACAACTGCAGTTGTTGTAATTGCTTAAACACTCTTGATAAGTGTCAATATTTATTCCGCTAACTGATCTAAAAGCCGCTATTTGCATGGCCTTTGACACCCAGCAAACGAGCTATGCAACATTTGTTTATTTTGCTGGTATCAACAAACTTTGGCATTGGCTCACTTCCGCACTGTAGTCGTTTGAACAGATTTGACAGCTAAATGAGACTCTAGAATGCAATAAAAGAGCTAACAACAAACAAAATCTGTGAAAATACACAAAATGAGAGGTAAAAATAAAATATAAATTAGATATAATTGGTAGCGAGCAAGCAGAATTGCGCTGGATAAGACTTTTATGAACGATTCGTTTTTATGTGATAATTGACAATTTAGCTGATCATGACAAGAGCGTGAACACTGACAGCAAGGAAATTTGTTTATTTACTACTTTAACAGTACTCTGCCTACATGCTGGGTGTTTATAAATTATGGCACAAAAAGTGACGAGAAAATAAATTTTAATGAATACTAATGCATATTGCAACTTGATGCGAAAATTGTGGTTGGCATAAATGAAGAAGAATAATTTTAAAATAAATTAGATAAGGTGAAGAGTATATGATAGTACATAGAAAAACAGTGATTATTTAAGAGGAGAAGAGTGAGGGATTAAATAAATAAGTAAATTAAAATAATAATAAATAAAAACTAAAATACAAAAAAAATAAATAAAATAAATAGTTTAACATGAAATATAAATAAAAAAAAGATGGTAAAACTTAAAGGAATTGAAATATTATTAAAAAATAAACATAAATAACATAAAAAATATACAAAATATCAAAAAAATACAAAATATTAAGAAAATTCAAAAATTCAAAAATAACTAATTTAACATAAAATATAAATAAAGAGCATGAAAAAACTTGTGAGAACTGAGAAACTTAAAAAGAAAATTTATAAAATATACGCATATACCACAAATATTAATTTTAATTAAAAACAATAGTTAAAAGGAAGCATATTATAAAAAATACATTAAAATACAATGCACTTCTTTTAATTTTTTTTTCATTATGCAAATATTAAAAGCATAAACATAAAACGAGAAGAGTTTAGAAGCTAAAACATGAAAAATAAATATTTGCATACATTTATTATGACTCTTCATACATAAGTACATATGTACGTATCTTAAGATGTGTCAGAATAGGAAGTTAAACTAGAATATCAAAAGTTTATTATACATATGTATATATGAACATACATAACAGTACGTGTGTATGCATGTATTTCTGAACACCAAACAAAAAGCACGTAAACCAATATTTGTTTTGGTTATTTTTTGTGTGTCTGCTCGATTTGGTCGTTGCTTTTGTGTAATTGAAAGCAGCAAATAAAAATGTAGAATACGGTCAATCTAGTATGTTTTGATAGTCAGTTGGTTAGTTGTAGAACCTGTCTGTTGCACGTGTACTTAGCGATGAACAGCGTAAAAACAAACGGACAAAGAACAGCAGCGTTTCTGCCAACTCATGAATACCGGTATTTTTGTTAGCAAAACATACCATGCATATGTCAGAAACATATATATAATATATATTATATTGTACGAGGATCGATCGATAAGAGTCTTAAAACTAAAGCAGCTGTGTGGCCACTTGAAAGTCAATTAACAAAGATTTTCTGAAAGTGTTTTGTAAAATAGAATATTTGGAGTTAAATATTATATATATATTTTTTTTAATCAGTTCCTTTAACTATACAGGGACTTATACTTATATACGACAAAGAACTATCTCTTTGTCGATGTTTCTCGGCTGACATTTCAGTTCATCAAGAGTTGACGCATATTATGTTAGGTTCAAAAACCGGTGCGAACATAAACTTAAAGCTAATACCAATTGTGAAAATATAAAAGACAGACTTCAAAGTAGCTCAGATAAAAAAGATAACTCACACGATAGATTTATAATAATTAAACCAATAGTGAAGGTTGGTCAAATATATGAAAAAATATTAATTTTACTATATTCAAAATCAAATAAGTCACTTGGCTGTTTTAGAGCATACCTACAAAGGGGTCTATGTCGATTAACCATACATCCATAGGTAAGCTCGTAACCTAGTAAACAATCATGCAACGCGTGTATCACCAATGTGGAACTTCAAATTCAGTTGCTAACAAAATTCAGCGCTAAAGCAAATAGCATAAAGGTTAGTGAACGCATTTGCCAAATGGCCTTGCTACCCTGCGCATATACGAGCATCCCGGATGCAGAAGTTCTTATGCAATAATAAAAGCATACGTTTAATCGTATTTATTTATATTTATTTCAATTTGATAAGCACACAAATTTTTATAGCGAAAGCATTAAAAAAATTAAAAATGCGAGGGACTCTATAAGTTCTTAGAATATGGTAACAAATTAAGTGAGACGTCCATATAAATTGATTTAACTGTTTTTAAATAACTAATAAACATAAAATGTGTGATGAGCTGAGTTAATTTAGCCATATATGTCTGTCCGTTTGTCTGTATATACGCGAACTAGTCTCTCAGGTTTTGAGATAACGATCCGAAATAGTGGACACGACCTCTTCTCTCCAAAAAGTTGCTCATTTGTCGGAACCATTGAAACTGATCAAACAAATTCTTCAAATAGCACCAATATAGCATAAAGATTCCATACAAACTGACCGATCAAATTCATGATCACGATCTTCATAATAGATCTTTGTCCTTTATTAAGTAACCTTAATTCGACTTAAAGGTTATTTGATATTAACAACCAGGCTAAAAAGGACTGGCAAAATGTTTTCCTTTGGATAGAAGTAAGTAAGGAGTAAGAAACCTTATAAACATAACTCGAAAGTGGAAATACACACAAGCAGCACATTTTGTGAAATCAAGAAATATTATGCTACTAACTTTTAGTGTAGCCTTCGTATGAAATCAAGATTATGAATGAAATTTTCAAATAAATCAATTCAATTAAAAATATTAAGCCAAATAAAGAATAGAAGAATTTGTTGGAGTGCATTCAAGATTATATGACTTTAATGAAGTGGAGACAGTTATTTCTTTTTAAATAAATGCCAATTTGTCGGATTTCGTACTGAAATTTTGTTGAGCACGGGACACACATTGACTTTTTGGGCTTTGGCCAAATTTTCTAAGATATATCTACATATACAATATATACCGTTCTTTCTTCCAACTGTTAATGGATTTTAGGAAAAACTCAAAGGTTGGCCACTGTCTGCCAAGATGCTTAGAGAACATCAAAACATGTCGTATATAAGAATGATTTGCATTGGTTTCGACACGTTTAAATTTATTTTTTCCAAGAGATAGAATTCATTTGTGTGGTGAAAAAAAATTCCGAGGAGTCTAAGTACATATCACAGCTGTGAGATATAACCCCAAACTAAAATGCTTTAATACTTCTTCATTACAAA